ACGTACAACAGTGCGACCCCTCAAATGAGGATAATACAGACGACTTAACAGATTAACGTACGTACAACAGTGCGACCCCTCAAATGACAATAGTACAGACGACTTAACACATTAACGTACGTACAACAGTGCGACCCCTCAAATGACGATAGTACAGACGACTTAACAAGTTAACGTACGTACAACAGTGCGACCCCTCAAATGAGGATAATACAGACGACTTAACAGATTAACGTACGTACAACAGTGCGACCCCTCAAATGACAATAGTACAGACGACTTAACACATTAACGTACGTACAACAGTGCGACCCCTCAAATGACGATAGTACAGACGACTTAACAAGTTAACGTACGTACAACAGTGCGACCCCTCAAATGAGGATAATACAGACGACTTAACAGATTAACGTACGTACAACAGTGCGACCCCTCAAATGACAATAGTACAGACGACTTAACACATTAACGTACGTACAACAGTGCGACCCCTCAAATGACGATAGTACAGACGACTTAACAAGTTAACGTACGTACAACAGTGCGACCCCTCAAATGAGGATAATACAGACGACTTAACAGATTAACGTACGTACAACAGTGCGACCCCTCAAATGACAATAGTACAGACGACTTAACACATTAACGTACGTACAACAGTGCGACCCCTCAAATGACGATAGTACAGACGACTTAACAAGTTAACGTACGTACAACAGTGCGACCCCTCAAATGAGGATAATACAGACGACTTAACAGATTAACGTACGTACAACAGTGCGACCCCTCAAATGACGATAGTACAGACGACTTAACACATTAACGTACGTACAACAGTGCGACCCCTCAAATGACGATAGTACAGACGACTTAACAAGTTAACGTACGTACAACAGTGCGACCCCTCAAATGAGGATAATACAGACGACTTAACAGATTAACGTACGTACAACAGTGCGACCCCTCAAATGACAATAGTACAGACGACTTAACACATTAACGTACGTACAACAGTGCGACCCCTCAAATGACGATAGTACAGACGACTTAACAAGTTAACGTACGTACAACAGTGCGACCCCTCAAATGAGGATAATACAGACGACTTAACAGATTAACGTACGTACAACAGTGCGACCCCTCAAATGACAATAGTACAGACGACTTAACACATTAACGTACGTACAACAGTGCGACCCCTCAAATGACGATAGTACAGACGACTTAACAAGTTAACGTACGTACAACAGTGCGACCCCTCAAATGAGGATAATACAGACGACTTAACAGATTAACGTACGTACAACAGTGCGACCCCTCAAATGACAATAGTACAGACGACTTAACACATTAACGTACGTACAACAGTGCGACCCCTCAAATGACGATAGTACAGACGACTTAACAAGTTAACGTACGTACAACAGTGCGACCCCTCAAATGAGGATAATACAGACGACTTAACACATTAACGTACGTACAACAGTGCGACCCCTCAAATAACAATAGTACAGACGACTGAACACATTAGCGCATGAACAACAGTGCGACCCCTCAAATGAGGATAATACAGACGACTTAACAAGTTAACGTACGTACAACAGTGCGGCCCCTATCCTTATTAGATAATACAGACAACTTAACAAGTTAACGTACGTACAACAGTGCGACCCCTCAAATGAGGATAGTCCGGACGACTTAACAAGTTAACGTACGTACAACAGTGCGGCCCCTATCCTTATTAGACTACAAGTAATAGGGATATCAAACTTTAAAACCCTAGTCCTCAGATAGGGAATATATTTATAAACATTCTTTGAAAAAAATTGAGAAATACAATTGTCTATACGTATTTTTTACCTGAATTGTTACATATATTTAAAGCGATTTATCTCGGTATCTTACATTTTAAGCGCTTTAAGAATTAACGCGTTCTTACTTTTGACAAATTGACAAATTTGATCGCTGTAAATTACAGTTGGTTATCGTTGATAAAAAATGTATCATATTTTGATGACGTCACGCCATTTTGAATGGGATACTCAAATATATTTGTTAAGCGCTTTCATATTATTTGGTTAGATCTGCTGACATAAATAGTATCAATTGTGTAAATGATAACTTTCTTTTACCAAAACATCTGTTTATGAACAGAAAACATGCCATACTGAATGAAGCGTGTAGAAAATGCCATTCTGATTGGTCAATTCCAAAAACGTTATAGTCACACTGCGACAAATGTAACTTCTGATATCTGTCACAGTTAGTACACAGATACATGTAGTATGTTGTTAAGTCGTACCGCTTATCTTATACTGACAAAGAGTTAAGGACTCCTTTTATTTGGATAAGGCAAATAAATAATGACTAACCTGATAGTCACAGGAATTCCTCGGTTCAGTAATAACGTGTACCATTTGAAATAATCTTTTTCTCATCGAGTAACGGGAGGTAACTCAAACCTAATTTCCGGGCAGTATTCTTGCAGAACTACACAGTATTTTGAATTCGAAGAAGTAACATTGTAGGTATGCCATTGGTTACATGTTCTTGAAGACATGTACTAGTCCTTGATATGCTACATATTGATCATTATATATTAATGTGAATAAAACAAAATTTAAGTACTTGTTCGATAAAGGATGTACTCCTCTGAGAAGTTAAACATATCCTTTATCAAACTTATTTTGTATGCATTTTTGAAAAAGGAGTTAATTGCATAGTAGAAAATGCAAATATGAGAATATGTCCGTTTGCTCGTTTGAATTGTATGTGCTTTTTTCAGTCAAAGATACCAATTTAACGAAAGAAATTTATTTTTGCTGGGTTTTTTTCTGTGATTTTCTTTTACGGTATGAAGAACAAATTCAAACAATATATTTTAAGTTTGCTATCAGAAATGTATGAATGTTTGCAGACTGATAAAAAAAGTATTTTCATCAAACTTATTGAAGTAAAATTTCAAAACAAATATTCTTTAAATTCAGGAGAAAAAATACTCATTTTGTCACCATTTGAGACACTTAAATATAATTCGATTTACATATTCAGCCATACATGTAAATAATCTTCATTACTCAATTATATTATTAAAATTAATATGATAAGACTACGTGTTCCGGAAGGGTAAGCGTCTTATGCTTCATCGATGACACCGTCTGTGTAAATCTAGGTCAAATCTTTTTGACCAAAGTAATATATGTTTAGTGTAAATATAACATGAACATTTAGTTTATAGTCTAATATTTACATTTCTACTGCACAGAGCCTAGATGTTTCTATTGGGCCCAATGTATGTTACTTCCGAATAGCATACATTGGGCCATTGTGACGTCGCTACGCTTATGACGTCAAAAATGTAACGTTGTAGATTGCACTGCTCCACTGTCAACTGGTGGCTGTTCTCCGTATGGATTTACCCTGACGTTGAAACGTGTTCAGACTAATATTATGTCTTTATTTCTGCGTGAACTGTAAGTTGATCAAAATAAAATGTAAATAAAAGTATTGGTTGTCATATTTTTGACATGCATTGGTGTGTAACATACATTGGCTAGCGCTCATCATTCAATATGTAGGTAAGCCAATGTATGTTACACACCAATGCATGTCAGAAATATAACAACCAATCCTTAATTAGGAAGGTCTTTCATTGGTGAGTTTATCAGCAATGGTAACAAAACTTGATTTCACATTCAAATATATCGACGATGCGTTCTCATTTGAATAATAAGAAATTTATCGACCATTATCGACCATGTCGACCGTATATAATCTCCTAAATTTGAAATCAAGAACAATACACACACTTTGGATACATGCCAAGATCTGTTTAGATGTAATGTGAGTAAGAGTTTCATGTACAAGTTAACCAAAATACTTAAAAGTTACCTACATTTATATTTCCCGGTTATAAACTATGATTCGATTATTGATATTTTCACATTTGTTTTTATATTTCGTTTCATTTTATTTGTCCTTTTTGTCTGTTTCTTTGTAAACACCACGTGATACATTTGTTTTCTATTTCTACCCATTTCTAGTATACACTGTTTTAGCTTTTATCTACATAAAGTACAATGAAAACCAACTAAATGGCTATTGAGTAAATAGTGTATGCATGTAAATCTTTATGATTTATAATACATTTATACCGGAGCTCCCCGTGACGAACATCCAGGTTAAAAGTGTAATCGTGTTCAGAGCAGAAATTAGCATAAACCATTTTGTGTGTGCGCGCGTATCGACAGTCGTTGGTTGTTCGGCAATAACTATCTATTATTGGACAACTGTTTATACAAGTCCATAATTTTACGTAAGTATGAGCGCATAATATAGTATAAACAAAATACCATCACGATTTACACAGTGTCATAGATCGGTTTTAGCATTATATGTAATTTCCCTGATGAATAACGACAGTGAGTTATAGGGAATTAAGAGTCAGGTTCTCTAAAATCGGCTTCATTTGTCATTACTATAGTAACCCATGTTTACATTTTTATTGAAAAAAATGCTTTCAGCTATTTTTTTTCTATTGTTACCCTCATTGATCATATAACTGTGGTAGAGTCTATTACTTGAGGACCAATCAATGGTAATTAGACATTTGGAGCAGAATGTGTATTAGCAATAGAACAGGGGTTAGGATGCCTTGGATAACGGAACATGTCGAGATTTGTTTAATGTAATATTTTATAACTTGGTTAAAAATGTTGGTCGCAAGTGTCAAGGACATCGCAGAGTATGCAAAGTACTATACTTGCTTACTTTACAAAATAAAACAATTTAAAAATCTCTGTGTAACTAACTCTACTGATACAGTACGGACTCGGCATTTAATTCAAAATCCAGATACCATTTGCCTGCATATCACTCGGTTAAAAGACATTTGTATGCCAACATCAGGGCTCTGCTTCATTGCCTGTTTAAAGCCTTAAATACCGTGCTCTAGATTGAGTCTCTTTTCTTTTGATTTAGTCAACAGTCTGATATGTGCAACATTTTTATTTCTGAATACAACAAACAATTGACACCTACAGGTGTTCAACAAAGCTAAGGAGCACCGTTCTCTTCAACCTGTTGAAAACGGAAAAGTTTAAAATGAGAAATAATGCTTTCTTCGAAACTCAAAATATAGACATTCAGATGGACCCAGAACGTTTCAAAGTTCCAAATATTGGTGCCAAAAGGCTAAAACATATCATATACACTACCATCCTAAGATGTACTAGCGTACAAAATTTGGTGTAGAAAATATGTCCTGGACAATGTATTTCAAAGGATGAGGTCAAAGATTAAATCATAGGTCAAAGTGACCTACTTTTTTACATGACACACCACCCTCCCAAGAGTACTTACATACTTGATAGTTAAAGCATGACTAGGATGTCATTCACTGTTGTTTTGTACTTTAACAGGGGGTTTTTGGAGACTTCACTTGTTGCTGGTTTATATGTAGTGACCTTACTATTGGACAGTCACATATAAACCAGCAGGAGATAAAACCCGTACTAACCCTCCATCATAGTACAGATGCAGCAATATTGGTACCAGGTAAGTAAACTGTAGACTGGGTATTACAAATACCTACATCACTATCAGAAGACATCTTTGTCAATATTTAATAAAAATGCTGTACACGGGTGAGCGCACACAGGTTTTCAATGGAAAGGCCATCAGTGAATACGTTCCGTTTATCTGATAACGTATACTTACATATAGAGATAAACTGTTTTGATATAAATGTTCCTTCGGTTGTTAGTTTATTACTATACAAGGAGTGAGATGTAAATGTTAACATTAACATGTCAATACTTAAAAATGTTAATAGCTGTTTTATCTACAAGTCACTTTTCTTACTGATGCTTTGGTGCTTTGCGACAATGACATAATGAAGTTATATTTACCTGTTCGCTAGTGTGTAATGCTCTCGTTCCCATTTCAGCAGTTTGTATTTTAGTCGATTTTTACTGAAACGTTACGCAATAGGTAATTATTCAGCAGAAATTAGCTTTGGTATGGTGATAGTTGGTGTCTGAAACGGTTGTTTTTTAACATGTTTATGGAAAGCGTATGACAAGGTTCTGTGATTTAACCTTACCCGATTTACAACCGGCATCTTCTAGATCCTATGAGTGTCAGACATACTTTACTGGTTCACAAAGGACAAAGGGTTCAGTTATAGGGCCATATCGCATATGTTTCTTTAATCCGCAAGTATACTGCTCTGTAAATAGGAATGGAATCAAATTTGTTTCAAATGTTGATTACAGAATGAACGCAAACATCTGCATCTGAAGCCCGCAGAGATTTTGTGTTAAAAAATGACAGTAATCTTTTCATCAAAGATCCACATATGATGTCAGAGGCAAACTGCGTGTGGCATAAATAGAAAGATATGAACACATTCCTTCATTTGATGGTAAGTGTGGACTTTTAAATCTGAGTTAAAAGGATATTTTTAGACATTGTTAAAAATGGTATACATGCAATTTTAATGTAGCGTACTTAAAACATCCAATTAATATAAAATACATTTCTTTATACGCAGATACATAAACTACAAAACGTTATCATCAAAACACATATGAATAGCGGCATTGCATGGATGCACATTTACTTGCTTTTTCTGTCAAACCATGATTTATATTCCCTTTTATGTGTACTTCATATGCAAATCAGTTGCAAAACGATATTCACGCATTCAGTAGCCGTGAAGTTATCAAACATCACAATATACGGCTCACGTAGCTTGTCGGGACTTCAAGGATATGGATAATGCATTCATAATCGAAGTAAAGAGATAAACCCACGTCAAATATCTGCTATAGTGTATACAACGACAGGACAATTAGGTAAAGCGGTAGCAAAATAACCTCAAATAGAGTCATAATAAAATTGATATTTAGATTTGTTTGAAACGCCCTCACATGTACACACATGATAATCAAACTTTAAACGTTTTCACTATTTCCTAGATTAAGATGATATTTACATGAAAGATTATGAACAGAGCGACTGACTACAAAATTGCACAGGAGAATTAATAATGTATAAACAATTGCACAGGAGAATTAATAATGTATAAACAATTGCACAGGATAATTGATAATGTATAAACAATTGCAAGTTACATGATGAGCACCGCATGTTAGTCCCTAAGTCAATACAATGCCACCGTTTCACGGTGTTTCTGAGTGGGGTATCTCTCTCTACCAGTGAAATTGTAGTAGGCTATTTCTGTAAATGATCGCTCGGTCTGTGACCGCTCCAGGTACTGTAGCCGATAGGCACTGTCACTAGGACCCCAGTCACCGCTCGGCTGTGTGAGCTTTCTCCATTTCTGTGTGAATAAACACACACGAACATAAACGACACGGCAAGAGACATTAAAACAAAGAAATCATAACATAATTCCACTATCGTAATATTTTATTTGATTGTTTAATAAGAGCTTGTAGTATTATTACATTGCGTTTTGAATGAACTCAAATTAAATTCTTATGTATATTTTGTAACTTAATTAAAAGTTCATATGGAAGAAATAAAAATTTGCTTGAAACACTCATCAAGATCATTTCAGAATACTTCTAATCAATGAATAGGATAGCGATGTACATTATAAAAGAAATATTATAGAAATGAGGAATGAGATTAAAAGAATAACAAACAGTAACCTTTCATCGACTCATTTCCAGAATATGCATTTCTGTCAAAAAATGTCAAACTGGGAGCGTTAACATTTTTTATAGAAATTCAAATCGGAGTTACTCTTACTGTTTCCAATTATGGTGCTTCCTTACACTAGAAAATGGGTGAAGAAGTACCTAATTGTACCTATCGATACTGAAGTCGTAAAGAAAGTACATTGCAAAGAAAATGAAGGATACCCCTGTAAGGCAAAGGGCTGGGAGACCTGCTTTGTTCCTGGACCTGAAGACCGTTATAGATAACAAAGTCAAGCTGCTACATCAACTGCATAAGCAATATCATATCAATTTGGCAGAATACCAACACATGCATTAAACACATTGGAATACCTGCTTGAACGTTCCCGGTAACTTGATAAGTTGCCAGACGATGTGAAGAGGTATTGGGATGACAATGGAAAACGAGATGAGCCAACCAATGACGTCAGTGTACTCGGGGTAGACGTAAGAACCGTACGTTGGTGGGCGGTACTTAACAAAGCTTGTTAAGAGCAGCAACTGAAACCCAATACAACAAACGTTCATTCTAGTGTTTTACAGTAAATTGATTATTCATCTTTAAGAATATATCCATGACATGCACAACTTCTAGTCATTATATCTTTAGGAGAAGTTGTATCTGATTCAGTTGACATGATTTGATAGCCGGCATTTCCAAGTCACTGATGTAACTTTAAGGCAAAGTTCACCGAAGTGAAAGGTCCTGTTACGTACGAACAATAACAACGATTGGAAACATTACTAAAGATAAATCCCAGCATTGTTTGTTGAAAAGTGTTTTGTTTTCTCCCTGCTTTGATAGAACCTTAAGAAAGAACTGGTGAAATACGATAGAGTTGTTGTGCAGCACAGTTTTTCTTAATTGTACCGTCCTTTGTTTTCATCACGAATTTCAATTCTCATGTCGAAGGTCAAAATTGTGGGCTAACCAGACCGACCATAGGGGTTTCTCTGCAAGCTTCGGTTTCCTCTCATATCAAGCTATTTTGTACACTTCAAATATGGCCATAAATGGGTTAACATTATACGTTCATAAAGTATAACATAGGAGAGAAGCGTGAGACGTATTCTAAATCACTACCTACCAGAAACAAGACTGGTGATATATAAGCGGCAGCCAGGCGGAACACGTGTGGCATTTTTCGCCCAGTCATGTCTTTTAAACCAGAGTCAACACGATCGCCGCCTGCAAAATTTGCCCATGAAATGTTATGCAAACAAATTCTTTATTTACCATTATTTCCATGTTCATGCTATACCATTTAACGACAAAATGTACATTAAGTCTATGGGTGTTCCATGATATACATACAAATTATATATTCACTTGTAACCAATTCATATTATATTCATTTTGCGATATATCATATTTAAAGTATAAGGATGTTCTATGATATTTATATGTTAACTATTATTCACCTGTGTCATGTAGCGTTCAGTTTTAGGCTTGCTAATTTAGATAAACGAAGCGTGTTTTAGGGATGTGAAGCCGAGTAATCGAAATTTGTTAAATCATGTCAGTTGGAACTGTACCATCTAAGTAAAAAAAAAAGTTTAATTTTCAATTAAGATAATTTTTGTAAGGTGAATCTAGCTACCTTTGTTTTTTATGTTTTCAATGGTTTGATCGATTGGATTAGTGTTGTTTCCTAATGAAGTATAGCATAACGGAATACAACATTCGGATGGCAAAAGCGCAGAATATACGGAACATGTTCATGAAATGCACTCATGGTAAAATACCGAGAATAAGTGTTTAGAGTCGTATGAGATTGTTTATACAAAACAAAACGAAATTTGCTATTAAAACTCAATAATATGCATTTTCTGTAATCATCAGTATCTAAATCCCTCATATTTACACAGATATCTTACTTACCATAACACCACATTATGGCTATAACCTCTAGTAGAGCTATCACTACCACCGACCACGTTGGTAGATACCAGTCCACCAACTGGAACATGTACGGTCCCGCCTAGAAAAAAGACGCAATTCATTACATTAGGACATGTTTGTACTCGTCAAAAATCAATACAACATATTATACGTACAGTTGTGTGACCGCACAACGCACCAAAAAATAGCGTGCGCACACCGTGCATACATCGTTCACACACCGTCCGCACATCGTCCACACATGGTGCGCACAACTGTGCGATTTAACAATAGTTCGCCCCCTTGTGCGCTTCTCTCCGCACAACTGTGCGATTTGGTATAATTTGTAGATCAAAATTACGGAATGACAAAAATACGGAAGGCTCGTATGCGATAATGTACACTTTGAATATATCTGTAATTTCTCATCACAATAATCAAGATGATACAATTTCACAATGCGTGTTACACAGTATTACAGCGACCGTTAGGCTGTCAAGAATGGGTTTGGCTCCAAGGTAACCGAACAGGTAAATAACAATTTAATGAGTGTCCGGAGTTTTACCTGACCAGTACCTGACACACAGAGCTGATATGCGATACCGTATGACCGTAATGAATAGTATTTGTTATTTGCATTCGTTTGCCTAGAGCTCCCATTCACCTGGATTTCACACCCCCGGCCTTACCCGACGTATTACGTAAGTGCCCCGGCGAGGGGAAAACTACGGTCCAGGTACATTTAATTGAATTTAATTGAAAAAATAATGGACGCAGGCTGAAAGCCTCTAAGTCCATATCACAAAACATAGTATAAAAATATTATATTGTCACTGGTTAACATATATAAATCTTCCCAAAAGAGTTATTTTAAAAGTCATTATCAGTAATTATTGTAAATAGTGTCCTTCAGATGGTTATCCAACAGGATCTCAAAGTCCTTCGTGGTTTCTGCATTTACAACCGATTCCGGTAGACCGTTCCAGATATCAACTACCCTAAACGTGAACGAGTTTTTCCTTAGCTCTGTACTACATCGTTGTTTATACAGCTTAAAATTATGTCCTCGTGTTCTTTCGTTATTATCGTAGACAAATATGTCTGACGTGACTTTCTCATCAAACTTCCTCTTCACAATCTTGAAAACGTTAATCAAATCACCTCTAGTCCTTCGGTGTTTTAGTGTCGGTAGTTTTAATTTTTCTAAACGTTCTTCGTAGGAGATTTCTTTAAATCCAGGTAGAAGCTTAGTGGCTCTCCGTTGTACATTCTCTATCATCTGGATATCTTTAAGTTTATACGGACTCCACGCACTGGCTGCGTATTCTAGATGCGGTCTTACCAGAGCCTTAAATAACTGTCTAAAAATCGATTCGTCCAAAAAAGTAAATGATCTTCTAATAATCCCGAGTACTGAATTAGCTTTATTTATTGAGTTTTGAATGTGGGTCCGAAAGTCCAGGTTTGCATCCACCGTTACTCCTAAATCTTTTTCACTGTTGATTTTGTCAAGTACGACTTCTCCAGTTTTGCTCGCGAGACGGTATGTTCTATTATTGTTTGGTGATCCTTTAACCTGAAGAACCTTGCATTTATTCGGATGAAATTTCAGAAGCCAATCATCAGACCATTTTTGAAGATTATTCAAATCTGCTTGTAGAATTTCCTTATCCTCATCAGTTCGTATCTTGCGGTATAATTTAGTATCATCCGCGAATAGAGGGCACGATGACGCAGTGTTCTCGGGCATGTCATTGATATACATAACAAATAGTATTGGTCCTAAAACACTCCCCTGAGGAATTCCGCTTAAGACGTTCTGTAATTTGGATGTAGATCCGTTAACCACTACTTTTTGATGTCTATCACTTAAAAAGTTTTCTATCCATTTAACAGTTTTCGCGCTGATTCCATAATTATATAGCTTGTGTATTAGACGGCGATGGGGTACCTTGTCGAAAGCTTTCATAAAATCCATATAAATGACATCAATTTCTCCTCCCGTATCCAACATATGAGTCCACTCATCTAGGACGATTAACATTTGAAGTGTTGTTGATCTTCCGGGGAGAAATCCAAACTGATTTTTGCTGAATAAATTGTTCAGTTGCATGTGTTGAACTATACTATCACGTATAAGTTTTTCCATTGTTTTAACGATGATACTAGTAAGACTAACAGGTCGATAGTTTCCAGGATCGGTTTTTGAACCTTTTTTGTAAATAGCGGTGATGTTCGCGTCCTTCCATGATTGGGGTAGTTTTCCTTCAGAGAGAGATTTATTGAAGATTATCGAAATTGGTATACACAAAACATCGCGAAGTTCCTTTAAAGCTTTCGGATGCATCCCATCGGGTCCTGGTGATTTGTTAGCATCTAAATTGAAAAGTAGTTTCTTGATTACATCTCCATTGATTGACGTGTCTTGAAATAGGTGACTGACAGGTCTGGCTAGGAACGGAGGTAGCTCCCCCGGTGGTTCTTTAGTAAATACACTCGTGAAGAAATTAACCAATACTTCTGCCTTCTCCGAATCACTAGTTGCTATTTCTGTAGGGTTTCCGTTCAATCCTTTTAGGTCCGAAATTCCCGATCTCACTTTTCTCTTAGCATTTATATATTTCCAGAATCGTTTAGGCTGGTGCTTCGCATTAAGTGCAATTTCCTTTTCCATCTCCTTTTTTGCCTTCCGGAGTTCCCATTTGACTTGGTTTCTGAGTTTGGCATACTCCTTATACCTATCTTGTGTTTTTGTTTCCATAAACCTCGTCCAAGCCCGATGTTTTTTATTGATTTTATTCCTAAGATCCCTGTTCAACGCTAGGCCGTTTTTGCTGTTTGCAGTTGTGTTCTTCTTTTTTGGGATATATTTGTCCGCAGTATTATGGAATATACGGAGAAATTTGTTGTACGCTTCTTCAGTATCCAGGTTAGACAAAGTTTCTGTCCATTCCACCTCCCGTAGTTCCTTCTTCATGTTGGTATAGTCTCCTTTACGGAAATTATATCCTGTTTGAAAATTGTTGGATACCGTTTTGCGGAACGCGTATTCAAAATATATAAGAAGATGATCACTGTTGCCTATAGGACTATCGTAATTAATAGCATTCACTGTCTCTTCCGCATTAGTTAATATTAAATCAAGGATATTTGCTTCGTTCCCCACTCGGATGCGAGTGCATTCAGTGGAATGTTGATAAAGAAAGTTGTCTCTTAAAAGTTCTATAAAGTTTTCACCTTGTCTATCTCCCCTTGATATCCATGTGTTCCAGTCTATACTTGGGAAGTTGAAATCCCCTAATATTAACAGCTGTGAAAACTCTTTATCTGTAGAAACTTTAGTTATTAGTTTATGTAGCTCATCGTTGTTATCCTTATCAGAGTTCGGACTTCTATAGACACAGCCAATCAACACTTTCTCCTTATCCGGCGATGTTATTTTTACCCAGATGCTCTCTTTAAAGCTGGTTCTAATGTTCACTTCCACGGGTTTAAGGCCTTCCTTGATGTAAATACCTATTCCACAGTGTCGATTGGGGTCGTTTTCGTTTATAAAAAAATCATATCCCGGAATGTTTAGCTCTGCTTTACTTGGTAAAAATCTATAATTTTTCGGGTAGATTTCAGTTATACCTATCGCGTCTATACCCCTCTCTTTCTGTTGAATCCTTAGTTTTAACTCATCTAATTTGTTTAAAAGACTGTCAGCATTAGTGTAAAAGCAGCTCAAGTTATCGTTTAATCTTCCCGAATTTTCGTTTTGATTTTCACGATTTTTCTGTTCCATGGGGGGCCTTTTACCCTGTGGACAAAACCCCCGGTTTCCTTCTCGTTTCTCTTTTTCGCTTCTCCCCTTAGTGCTGCCTCTCCTTCTCTTTCTGATTTGGTCAGATCATTATTAATCCGAATGGATTTGTAATCATCATTGGTTTGAAGATTCCGAATATTTTTGAAAAACACAGATTTATAAGCAATGCTACCGAAGCTGACTAGGATGGGTCGGGTTTTCTCCTGTTGTTTTCTGCCTAGTCTGGTAATCTTGGGAATGTCATTCAATCCCTCAGCCGAGACTTAGCAGGTTTTAAGCATCTTTGTAACTATCTCCAAATCCGCATGTTTTGCGTCCCCGTTATCCTCTTTTTCGTCAATCCCGAAAATGAATATGTTGTTTTCTCTGCGTTTTTTATCGTTAAGCTCCGATAATACAGTAGATGTAGCATCATTGATACTAGTATGGGTATCCTTGGATGAACTTACAGAGTTTGCCAGTTCTTCTTGAATTATCTTCCTCACCTCATCAGTTCCACACTTCGACTTTATAACGAGTTCAAGCTTGGTAATTCTTTCCTCGTATGCTGCCATTATCTCAGCACATTTGTTTTTCACTATGGTTTCGGTATGAAGGGTTTCTCTTACTGCCACATTGCATGGCGCGCAAAACCACATCGAATCCGTTTTGTTTAGAAAATCATATACCGTGACTTCTTTCTGCAGGCACGCGATACAGAAACAGTCTTTGCAGCGTTCACATTCCAGCATTTTAGCGTTTGGGTCTCCATTGTCCGTCTTCTGACACAACTTGCAGGTCTAAGTGTCCGACAAAAACGGGTTGGAACTTCGTCTAATACTCCCTTTTCTCTCTCCAGAACGCGTGACCACTGTTTCCTTCTTCTATTCGTCTTTTCGCCTGATCTGCTTGACGACGATGTAACGTCCTTAGATCCCGCTGGACGCATGTCGAAAATTGTAGAGATCTCTGTTCCTGTTGGGGGATGAGTCCTTATACCACCCGCTCTATGTAGAGCTTATATTTAGCTTCTTCCGTGACAATTTCCAGCACAATGGGACGTTGATAAACTGTATAAAACTGATAAAAAGCTTCCGATTTACCGGAGACCGGAACAATGGCGTCTGTTACCATGTGACGTCATAAACACTCGAAAGTGTACATGTACAAAGTGGTTATGTTTACCTGTATACGGGATTGTGTTGTAATTTTACATGTGTCGATTAAGTTTGTTTAAAAACACCGAAAACACAATTTCTAAATATAAAAATGTATAGACAGAAAAATAAGTTTATAGATGTAGCTAGAATATAGAAACATACGTAAAAATCAAGTTTATATGTTTAAACACGAAACCGTATAAATTGTTAAGGCATTCCTCAATTTACACAAACCACGATTGTTATCGCACAACGTTCGTCCATCGTGCGCACAAATGTGTGCAAGCAATGATCGTCCAGCTTTTTATCGTTTGCCCATCGTGCACACACCGTTCACACACCGTGCACACTTCGTGCGCACACTGCACATCGTGTAACGTTGTGCGATCCCACAACTGTATGTGTGGGAGATTTGCTTAAGTTTTGCTTAAATGGTGCAGTGTTAACATGAAATTTATGTGAATGATAAATAAACAATTACATTTTTAAACACATACTTAAACTTTAATAGGTATTAATTAGAGTGTTTTATTAATGTCATATGTAAAAAAAACACAAACTAATTAACTAACTGGAAACTTTACATGGAATGATTTCAAAAGCGCAAATAACAATATAAAAGTAAAAGATATAGAATTGAAAAAAAACCGCAATCAGAACTAAGCATACCTAACGTATAGATCTGGTGAAGACTGTTATTACCTGTGTGCAGAAAGGAAGGTTTAGTAGAAGGGCGATGATGCTGACGAGTACTACCAGAAGTAAGTGGCCATGGCGACCTAACCGAGCACTGTAGCCTTCCATGAACGACACCACCGTCTCAGTGCAAACCACCTATAAATATTGACTCTACTGAATCAAAACTAACTATTTATGGATCAAAATGATGTGAGTCTATTTCTTATCGCCAGAAACGTTTGTGTAAATACCCTTAATATCAAAGAATAATGTTGTAAATATTATTATATATAAGGAGGTTCAAAAAACAGCAATACCGTATATAACTGAGTATACCTAAAAGTTAATATAACACACGGTTAACCTTCTCACATGCATCATTTAGTATAAAACGTTATTGGAAACAAATATCGATAACTGATCACTTGTGTGTGCCGTACCTGTGAATCCAGTCCTACAATAGTGACAGCGAAGAAGAACACAACAGCCCAGATATAAGGTGCAGGTAGGTAGGTCAATGCCCGACTGTAGCCTACCAGGCCAATGGATATTCCTAAAGCACAAACGTAGCAGACATGTTCACTGTACTGAAGGTGTTGATAACAAAATCACCTAACACTCATTATTTATTGAGGATTAAAAGGTAAGGTTTTGTTATTTAAGAAAAGTCTTTGGTAGTCTTATAAATGGCGCGCGTGAAACCGTAATAGAGCTTTGTGACGTCAACAATCATCAGGGTTTCCAGTGTTACAGTGCATGTTTTACGTGTTAATGATCACAGTAGGAATTAAGCAAAAGCTTACATTCAAAATGAACAAAACATTCGCTGTATCGCTAAATTTTAGAATATTTTGATTGCCTTTCTTTGGATAAAGGTATTTCTAAAGTCTGAGCTTATGCTTACTGCACAAAAATGAAGGCATAGTTTTTGCTGGCGCTAATTTTCCACCTTTACTGATGTTATTTAACCAATACAGTATTCGAATCATTGCATAACGTTGCATCGAACCAAAATATCACTTTTACTTTTAACAAGTTAAACCTCACGTAAATGATGAACACTAAAACGTATCACTAGCTTTCATTACTTCAGGCATATGGTTTCCAGTATAGCATTGCCCCAGAAAAGGCGTTAAGCTTGTGACGGATTTGGTTTCAGAATGTCTTACATGTGCATTGTACATGCACACCTATACATAACAAATTTAACAACTATATTAGTAAATATGACTGGTAAGAAAAAGTGTTAAAACATATTGCATTTACCAGATTTAACAACATCCTCTACCGGAACACCAATCTCGCTTGCCATTACACCAACGACAGCGAACAGGCAGGCACTGCTGAATATCGATATAAAAACATCCCCAATGACGCTGATCAGCACATTTCTGCAAATAGAATGACTATATTTCTTATGCAGCCAATTGATAAGTTTTTAAAACAAAGATGATTATACCACTGATGATATCAATGAGCGCATATTTTCAAAAGCGAAGTTCTGTAAGATGTTCGAGATTGTGAGATCCACCATTTAAGCAATGAGGTTGATTTGATTTTAATTTTCATTGGGGTATGAAAAGAATTATTTTATAATCCGCTACGGATTCATACAGTTTGTAAGATACTTCTTTTCCTACCCCAATGAAAATAAAATAAAATCAACATTTTTGCTTGTAGCTAATTTCAATTAATTGTCGTGAAAAGAAACCATAACAAATAAAATCGATAAAGAAATTTCTAATACGTGCGCAATAATCTTTCAATCAACATTGAGCATTGCGTTGCCGAGGAACTTCAAAAGTCTCGTGCGCTCAGCTAAGCAGGGCGAATTCGTCGGCCATTTTAGTTAAATGTTGTGATGCAGTACAACACTATGTCTGGCCTATTTGTGTCAAAAATAAAACATGCTGTGTGCAAACGACGATTTGGATAGAAGTACGATAGAAAGAAAGTTATTTGAAAAGATATTTGATTATATCATGAGCAGCATTACATTTTGTGGATTTAAAGCAAGTGGACCTAAGCACTTGTGTTGACTGTCGGTGACTGTGTGTGATAGCGCAATTTGTGTATGTGTCACAGGATCGTTTTGACGAGTACTATATATATGCTAGTTATTCACTTAAATTTTGCTCTAGGCTGGAAGAGCATCTTCGACTGCAACTTCTCACAGGACTTTCAATTTTGTGCCAGAACATAAACAGCACATGCCGCAAGTCGAAGCCGGCGTCACTCATTGCCTTAATGGCAACTGCCGACATAGCGAAAGTAGTTCCGGGGCGTGACTTATTTTTTTTTGACCAATCAGGTTTGAGTATTTGATATAAAAACAAATAAAAAATAAATTATGAGTAAAGAAGTAGTAACTTTCCTCAGAAAAGAGGAAAAAACAATCTCTTTATCGGTGGAAATATAGCAACGCCGTAGTTGTGTGTAAATGTGGCTTTGGAATACCTACCAAGCGGAACCCGGTCATTAAAATTAATAGAGCATTAGAGAAAACGGAGATATATCAGCTTGTCCAAAAAGGCGACTTATGTGCGCCTTTGCAGATACAGAGGTTTTCCTCGGTCACTTCTGACCAAATTTGATCTATTTGTCACCAAACTACTGTCCCATAGCGACACTTGGGCACTTGCGATCTATTTCGTTTCCTGCTTTTTTCTGCCTGATTTCTTGTTTATTTACTTTCGCTATCTGGCGGTGACTCCCTAGTCATCTGTTCTACAACGACCCTAACTGTTGCGAGGACATTCTAAAAAACTAAATCGAAATGCGTTTTCACTATTACTACAAAAATTCACCAGCAGAAGCCGTTTAAAAGTGCTCCGAATGCAAAGCATGGTGCCCTTGAACAACTCCCATCTTAACATTACGTCATCAGAACAAGCACCTGAATCGGGCCCGTACGAACGGTCGTTGGATAGTTCGATAATGTTATTTTCAAAGGATGGTCCTGTAGTGCCTTTAATTCTAGCTCAGGAGACTGTATACAGCATACGATCGTCATGGTCAACTATTAGTTAATGATTTATTTTTATATAATACGGTTCAAAGAACTGGTTAGTAATGCATTTTCATGAAAAGATATCTAAGTAAAGTAGATAAACTTATATTTACCTCAGACAGCTAGCGTGGAAATTCAGATGACTTCCCATCATCATCACACCACCCCAAGCTGGACCAAGGCTGTAAAACGCCATGAATCCAGCCTCTATCCATACCTGTCATTTAATTAGTAATATTTCTTATAGAAGTCTAATAATGCATGTAGCACGCGGTGTTACTATATCCAATCAAACTTAAAAAAAAACCTTCACAGACGTTATGCATAGTGTCGTGTCATTTAAATGGAATAATTTCCGTTTTGCGTACGTATACATCTTGCAAATAATTGATTTCAACGAACAATAGCGAAAAACAAACCTTTGAGTCTGCCAGTTTGGAAAAATCTGGTGTTATCAAGAAGAGCAAACCATCTGTGGCGCCATTTTGCGTCAACGCTTGTATTAACATCGCCATTCCAATAAACGGAGGCAGAAATGCGGTAAAAATCATCAGCTAGAAACATTTGAGAAATGTACAAGGGCTGACAAGGATAAGAAACATTTGTAAAAGGAACAAAGATGAAATTCTCTCAATCTCAAAATTAAAAATTCTATTTGGAAAGTAACATTGTTAATCATATACGTCTTCCAAACAACAGAACTCTCAATGAATATAATATCAAAATGTAACAAATTGTAGTTAATTTATGGAAAATATACTAACCTTTCCTAAACTCTGTACGCTTTTCAGAAGACAAACAACGGTGATTACTTTGAGGAGAATTGCCCATAACACAAGCCACCATCGCACATATCCAATGTCATTGATACCACTCGACAGCGATAAGATAGTGTACCTGTAATACATTTACGCATTGATACCACTCGACAACGATAAGATATTGTACCTGTAATAGTATACACATTGATACCACTCGACAGCGATAAGATATTGTACCTGTAATACATTTACACATTGATACCCCTCGACAGCGATAAGATATTGTACCTGTAATACATTTACATATCGATACCACTCGACAGCGATAAGATATTGTACCTGTTATACATTTACACATTGATACCACTCGACAGCGATGAGATATTGTACCTGTAATAGTATACGCATTGATACCCCTCGACAGCGATAAGATATTGTACCTGTAATGCTTTACACATTGATACCACTCGACAGCGATAAGATAGTGTACCTGTAATACATTTACGCATTAATACCACTCGACAACGATAAGATATTGTACCTGTAATAGTATACGCATTGATACCCCTCGACAGCGATAAGATATTGTACCTGTAATACATTTACACATTGAAACCACTCGACAGCGATAAGATATTGTACCTGTAATACATTTACATATTGATACCACTCGACAGCGATAAGATATTGTACCTGTAATACATTTACATATCGATACCACTCGACAGCGATAAGATATTGTACCTGTTATACATTTACATATTGATACCACTCGACAGCGATAAGATATTGTACATGTAATACATTTACACATTGATACCACTCGACAGCGATGAGATATTGTACCTGTAATAGTATACACATTGATACCACTCGACAGCGGTAAGATATTGTACCTGTAATACATTTACACATTTATACCACTCGACAGCGATAAGATATTGTACCTGTCATACATTTACACATTGATACCTCTCGACAGCGATAAGATATTGTACCTGTAATACATTTACACATTTATACCACTCGACAGCGATAAGATATTGTACCTGTCATACATTTATACATTGATACCACTCGACAGCGATAAGATATTGTACATGTAATACATTTACACATTGATACCACTCGACAGCTATAAGATATTGTACCTGTAATACATTTATACATTGATACTACTCGACAGCGATAAGATATTGTACCTGTAATAGTATAGACATTGATACCACTCGACAGCGATAAGATATTGTCCCTGTAATACATTTACACATTGATCCCACTCGACAGCGATAAGATATTGTACCTGTAATAGTATAGACATTGATACCACTCGACAGCGATAAGATATTGTCCCTGTAATACATTTACACATTGATCCCACTCGACAGCGATAAGATATTGTACCTGTAATTCATTTACACATTGATACCACTCGACAGCGATAAGATATTGTACCTGTAATACATTTACATATCGATACCACTCGACAGCGATAAGATATTGTACCTGTTATACATTTACACATTGATACCACTCGACAGCGATAATATATTGTACCTGTAATACATTTATACATTGATACTACTCGACAGCGATAAGATATTGTACCTGTAATAGTATAGACATTGATACCACTCGACAGCGATAAGATATTGTAACTGTAATGCTTTACACATTGATACCACTCGACAGCGATAAGATATTGTACCTGTAATAATATACTCATTCTTTGTTTATGAACATGATTATATGAAAGATCTTCATATGTAGAGTAAGGTCAAGTTAACAACTCCTTCAAATTACTAATGAAATTGTAACGTTAAACAAACTTTATGTCGTACTGCAGAGATTTATTTCGTGTAGCAAACTGTTCAGTAACAATGCACTAGCAACAAAACAGTAAAATAATTATTATATAGCATTCTACTTGATAGTTAAATATGAACAGAATATAATCAAAATCAGTGTTCTTAGACTTAAAGAGTTGGAGCGGGATTCCAACCCTGGATTTCAGACTGTTATACTGTCACCTTACTGCCTGATCTACCTTGTCAACAACGTAACATGTGATGCAGTTAACTATACCAACAAGTGAAAAGGAGGGAATGTATCTATATATACGAAAAACCACAGTGCAGTGGGACAGTGAACCGTAAGATCTATGAAATACCAATATCTAAATTGTGACTTGTTGTATTACAGCAACAATATACTACTTAATAGTCATGTCAGTTTTGCTCATAGGTAGAGATTGGTAACAAAAGAAATTAGATGCTTAAGTTTCAAATAAATAACGTATTAATGTCATATAACTTACTGCCAAAATTCCTCCTCTGCTGAAATATCTGCCGTGTTGTTTGGGTACGCGGTAGTGATTGCCGTGGAATTCCATAGGCTTTCATTGGAGTTCGAAGACAATAGTGCCTGCGACAACCTACATGAATGAGTGTTCCATGTGTGTCCGCATGAGGACCACGGTAGCTCGTACACGAACGACTGTCTCAGGTACTCTAACAGCCAGTAACGCATTGTTGATATATATGTCACAAAACCTAAATTTAGTAGAGCGATAGAAATGCCTATCCCTGTAATCAAGTGTAAGTGTGTGATATCAGTTATGTCATTCGTGTACCTTTGGCGAAAACATTGTATAATTAATGTTTATTTGCAGGCACATCACACAAAAGAAAAATGAAATATCATTCGATTGTTGTTGTTTTCTGTCTTAAATAACAGACAAATTACGTTATCAAGGTCATAATTCGAATAAACTACTTTATACTAGACTGCAATAAAATTAATATTCCAATCATGGGTGAAAGGAGTAACGTTTAATTCATGAAGTATTAATTTACCGAAAAGCGTATAAACGTATATTTGTGAACAACAAAAAATGAATATATTCTTGATATAAATCCGATAATCGTTAATTGCTTATTCCAATGCAAATATTGTACAAATATTACCTTTGAAAAGCGGGAAAAAATTCCATATTTCGAACACTCCTTTTCCAGAATATTGTCCAATGAAGATTTCCAGGATGTATAGGGGTATGCCACAAACAATCAGAGTCAGACCGTAGGCAACAAAAAAAGCACCTGTATATAATATATAATATATATGCTATTAGCAAAAGATGATTTTGACCGAAAGAAATTGATTTTTCCATTGGCATAAAATTGGCTCGTTAGTTATCAGTCGGATATACATCTAACAATACATGAACTGAGCTAGGTTTATATACTATGAATTCCAAAAAAAATGGCAATTAATGCACTGTTCAACTTGATATTATAAAGATGTGTATCAGAGCTTCCCGCTGTTGGAATGTTAAAACCCTTCACGGACAAGTTGTTAATATGGCCATTTATTGATATTATTGTTATTGAAAATAACAATGACCTAAATGCAGATGTGAGTGTACATGTGTCCAGTTTGTGTTTATCACTTTCTATTTGACAATTCTGCCTGAAAACTGTGAAGTTTATAAATAGCAGCCTGACGTTACATTGGCCTTTCAAATGACTTTAATCTTCACCATGTAATTAACCAAAGCTATATGTAAGACCAATATACTATTTGTCCTGGCTTTTGTCCCTTTTTCTATTTATCTTGTTGTTGCATGATATGCAGGAGTCTTAGAGTATGTATTCCTAACTTATGATGTAAGATTTCAAATCTGCTGAAACTGAATATATATGTTTTTTAGTTACCTCCTCCATTTCTCCATACCAGATAAGGAAATCTCCAGAAATCCGACATCCCTGTGGAGTAACCAATCAATGAAACTACGAATTCAAACGTGCTGCTCCATGTTACCCGTTCTTTTGACTCGCTGTTGTCCAACATTTCGCCATTTCTGTCATCCCGTCCTGCAGAATGTTCATCCTTCTTCGTCATGCAGATAACAAGACACCGCTGCTTTTGTTGAAAACTGCATATGCTCAAAATAGAATCTCAATCATAAATCTGAAACACTTTCAAAATCAAATTAACTTTTTTTCTCCAATAATGTAACATTTGCATTATTTTTGAGCAAAACAGGAGTTGCGTTGTGCTGCATAAGTGGTCGGATGCAAAGCCTACAAGTACGAGGGCCGTTCAAAAAGTAATGTCCTAGATTATATAGATGACAAACGAAGTACACCGATTTAATTTTGTTTCTTTCATTCCTTCGAAGTATTCACCTTTTACAACAACACAGCGTTTCAGCATTCGGATCCAATGTCTGAATGCTTTCTGGTAGTCTTTTTGCCGTATACTCTTGAGATACTGGAATATTGCAGCTCCAACTGATGCACGAGACCTGTAGTGACGTCCAGACAGATGTCTCCAGTTTTGGGAACAAGGAAAAGTCACACGGGGGTAGATCTTGTGAATAGGGTGGGCGTGGTAACACAACAACGTTTTCTTTCTCCAAAAACTCCTTGACCAACTTTGATTTGGGTGCAGGAGCATTGTCATGTAGCAAACGAATACCACGTGTCCCTGTTCTTGGTCTCTTTTTCTGATAGATTTTCTTCACTTCTTCAATACAATGTCTTTATACACACTGCCCGTTATACAATTGTCTTTTGGGATAGCTATCTGGCCAACAACACCATTCGAATTGAAGCACACAGCATAGAGAACCTTCTTTGTACTTTGTCAACGCTTTGCAATTACGGGTCTCTTTCCATTTCGGGTAAGCCATACTTTATTATTATTTTTTCTTTGGGGTTCAAAACAGTGAACCCATGTCTAATCATCTGTTACAATTTTCGGCAAGTCGACGCTGGTTGCAATGTTGCTACGTTTTCAACAAATTCTTTGCCATTGAAACACGTACACTCTTTTGTTCTTATGTCAATAAATGCGGTATCCATCTTGCAGAAATCAACGGACCCCGTTGAAATGCCTACACTTCTTGCTATTTGTTTTACTGTCAATCTACCTTCCTCGGTTACTAATGTGTTTATTTTGGATATGTTTGTTAAGTTAGATGATGTCTTTGGCCTTCCAGAACGAACGTGGTCGCTGACATCTTCTAACCCTTTGCGAATTTTTTATAACCATCGGGAAATCGATCTATATAATAGGTTAGAGTCTCCATAAACTTCACATATTTCATGAAAAGTATCCTCTGGTGATTTTTGAGTTTTGCACACGCTTTTATAAAGCTTCTCATTTCAGTCTCATTTTTACGTTTTTTGCCTGTCATTTTGTATAGAGTTTATCGAGTGCACGGTCGTAAAATGTACCTTAAACAGTCAAAACTGCACCAAATATTCTCGGGTCTGTTGCCACGTGTTGTGTATAAATTCACCTACCCGTGACTCGATTGCAAGTCACGCCTGAACGCATTTATCTACGGTATGGCAAAGTACTGGATCACCAACCTACCAACCCCCTACCCTCGAGGTATGAACGAACAATAGACGCCTGTTCTCCTTTATTTCCCTTCCCGGTTTGTATTTGACAGGTAGTTCACTGATATTGATCTGCTGACTCGCACGCTTGATGCAACTTGCTAGCGTATGTGACTGACAGACGCTGTTAGATTTGGTAAACGAAATGTCTGTCTCTTGGTGTGGTATTACGTCACTTACTCGTAATACTTATTTTTCTTACCCTCACTAAAAGTTGATAATATATCGCAAAAATATATATGTACTATATATTTACCTACCAAACGATATTTCGGGAGTTTCTACTCCATATCTCGTTGATCATGTTTGGACGAATCGTCGTGTAATTTTTTCCAGCGTCAGCACCTTTCCTTTCTCAAATATTAGCTATATTCCATTTTATTTCTATGTCTGTGTTCTTTGTTTTCGTTTGTGTCTCGATAAAGGTGAGGATTGCTCTAAAACATGTTGACAGCCTCATATTGTCTACAATGTTGGAATTACTTCCTTGTCCCATATATGCCAAATGGAAGTAATGCGTATGCTTCAATCAATTTCGAGGTTTTTAAATCAGGAAGCTTTGTGAAAAAGTTATATTATATCAATAAATGAACAATAACATATCAAAACACATACATGTAAATAAACATTTGATCCAATGATTGGGAGCGTTCATCATTCTTGCTACAATGTGCTATGTACTATATTCTTGTATTGCATGATAGAGCAGCAGGTAATGAAGTGGTATATTTAATTACATTGAAACCAAATGAGAGAGAGACAGACAGACAGACAGACAGACAGACAGAGGCAGACAGAGACAGGCAGAGAAAGGCAGAGACAGGCAGACAGAAACAGACATATCTTGATGTACACATTAAAGCCAGTCGAAAGCCCAGTTATGTGTTCCAAATACCTTACAGATGGATATCGGTTATTCGAAATGATAGCTGACACTTTGTGAAATAGTTTACATTTTGCTACCTGAAAGTCTAAAACCTTACCTGAATTAAAGAAATGTATTACAACTCACCTGTTTACGTCTACACGTTAGAATCTGTGGTGGAGAAGTCCTATTATATACCAGGCTACCCGATATATATATTTATATATATATAAATCAAGAGAATGTATATCAGTGAATCGTAACTTGTTTGATTTTTATTTTGATTGTGTCACCCTCGAACTATTCAAATTTATGAAGCGTAAAGTGCACTCGGGGAAATTGTAAAATACTCATAAATGCTGTATGAAATTATGATAATCCTTGTCTGTTGCGGTGTGGTAAACACGCGTCGATGTCAGATTTGCAACAGATTCAGAAAAACTACGGTTGAAAGTGAGACTTTGTTATAAGGATATAAATTGTAGGCATCTTGACATATTACATGTAGCGTATTTTATTGTTGAATACTAGAATATATAATGAAGGAGATAAAATGTTAGGTAAATTATTTACAGGTGACCCTTTTTAAGTAATAGGGGTTTAATGTGTTATTAAGAAATTAAGATACCATCGTGATAGATTATGAACTCTTTAATGGCATTTTGTTCAAGACGGAAGCTCTAGATGTTAAATAGAAACTGTTTTTTTTGCCGCTAGCAAACTTCAAATACATACAAAATTAAACGCATTTACTCTCATTCGACAAAGGAAACAAGTCCCTCGGTTCATCATAGACAGCAAGATTATTTTTCTATCTTTTTCAATTATTGAATTCAAGATGTAGGCAAAAGTGAAACCGATTTATAGGCAGGCATATTTCCCATTTCTGGATCACAGATGAGGACAGTGAAAAGGGAGAATGGTACAAGGGGGAATAACTTTCTACTTGAAGAGGAAGATAAGGCAGATACAATGTAAGAAATGAAACAGTATATCCTATATTATGTACAATGTAAGTTGTTTATGTTGAAAAAATTGTAAAAGTGTCTGTGGTAATAACTTGTTTTTTTATTATGTTCAGTTGCACTGAACCATAAAAGAGTTACATATATACTGGTCAGTTTGTGTGATATCTATGAGGGCAATGACCAGAATGAATGCTTGAAACTATGTTTGTACTTGTAAATTGTAAAAATTATAAGACAATATAATAACTAACCTTTATGTTTTATTGACTCAAGTGTCACTGAGAATGAAAGTGAATTGTTAAATACCAATCTAACATATTCAACGACATATTTCAGTTTGTTAAGCTAACAACATTTACATGCGCGCATTATGTTGTTTGCTTGCAAAGCTGTAATACAAAAACAGTTCAATACTTATATTTACGTTTTCTCTGCCTCTTATGTTCTTTTTTAACTTACAATTGATATTTGAAATTAAAAATTCCCACCATATCGACAGTCCACACAAATTCGTTCAATAGTTGGAACAGCGTGTTGTCGCGTACTTTGAAATTTTAACAAACACTTCAATTTTATTCCACAATTCAGTATCAATACAATTGCGTATGCTATGTCTATATACTATAGGGTGATTTAAGTTTATCAATAGAACTCTGAGCTGAAAGTTCGATTTGAAATTGTTTCGATTTTCCCCCGGAACAAATTTCGCGCATTGATAAATACAGTGAACACCGTGAATGAATCCGACCTTGCCCTCCACGAGGGAATTATTTTTGGAAGTTAAATGAGCAAAGAGAAAAGTTCGAATTTGTGAAGAATCCAGACTTGAATTTATTTGTTGATTGTATGGGAATCTGACTACAGTCGATAGATTCTGTAACAGTCTCGTTATTTCACATGTCGTCAGAAACTCAGGAAACCGTGGAAGCGAGACGCGAGAAACTGATAGCGTTTGAAATGATCTTGCGACGGAGCACAGGGGTTCGTTACAAATGCCTGAAATGTTTATGTGTGCTGTGACACATATCAGTAGGTCTGTAACATATGTGTCAGTAGGTCTATAGAATATGTCTATTTCAGACATTTGTAACGAACCCCTGTTGATCAGTGTAGTGTAACAGACGATATTTCTGATAAATTGCATGAGTGTTAAAATTGTTCATTGTCGGCATTGGTGATTTCAACCGATGTGCATTTTGAACGATATTGCAGACCTTAATCTTGTTTTTGTTGTAATAAAAGTATATTTTTTTATATTTTCTTTTTTCTTTTTCACGTAAATCTATAATTACATTGACAAGTTTCACACTGCCCAGCGATATTTCAACAGCCGTCATGTATATTTACATTTGATATTGTAGTTCCGGTCAGTGTTGTATTAATGCGCTAAGAATTGTGTCTCGTGATGCATGGTAACTAAAGTCCCATCAACGACACAGCTTTCAAAGAGGCTATATAGTGACTATGCCAGTAAAATATGTCGGTGAAGAAGATTTAACTGTAGATGATTAGTCACAACTTGCTGAAGATTTGACACGTACACATCTGAAGTTCATTGATGTTTAAATAAGGTATAATAGAGACTTTTCTGTATTTATTTCCCTATACCAAAAACAAAAGGCGTACTCGGATACATTGAGATTGGTATTTTACAGGTGATGCAAGATGAACACTGAAGACCATATCCTGACCTTCGTTTTGATATATAATACTCTATATTTTCTCATTGTTTTTCGTTTTTTAAAACATCCTGAACCAAAACGTGTCTTGATGCACCTTGATGCAAGCACGTACGTGTTACATACGCATTAATGATTTTGCAGGTAAACGTGAGGCACAATCTGTAGTACTTTGTATAACGGTAGCATTCAACCCATAGTAGCGCTGTCCTTTATTCCTTCAGTAAAAGGAACTCATGTAGTTGGATATACCATAATTAGTCGATATGATAAGTTGTTTTGTTGTTTGAACAGATTTTAATGTCCTATCAACAGCTAAGGTTTTGGTTTCTTTATGCTTTACGTCCTATTAACAGCTAGGGTCATTTAAGGACGTGCCAGATTTTGGTGGTGGAGGAAAGGCGGAGTTCCCGGAGAAAAAACACCGACCTACGGGCAGTACATGGTGACTGCCCAACGCAGACTCAAACCCACGATCCAGTGGTGTAGGGATAGTGGTAGCGGAATGTCAGACGCCTTAACCACTCGGCCAGCGCGGCACACAGCTACAGCTAAGGTCATTAAATGATGTTCAATATAATATATGCTGATTGCATACATGCACATGCGCCAAACAAACGTCCATGTATTAATAACTATATTTTATTATACACATACAGATATACATAAAATATTTTTTTGTAGTAATCTTAGGACTAATGAAATAACTATTTTTGTACTTTGTTGGGTGTATGGGCAATAATGTGTAAGTATGAACGTTCGTTATTTATAGATTTCCATGAATGTGTAGGAACCAACTGACACTTAGATACAAGTTGGGGTCAGTACCACACTCTTAAGTTATACTGACATCAACTGTCAGTGGTGTAGCAGTTCTCAGATCACATGCAGTGGCTGGAGGTCGAGCGTTTCGGCATGTCGATGCTAGACCGTTCTGCGGCACTTGTTATTTTCATTCCTTCATGTGTATGTATTGTGAATTTTTCACAAGGATATTTGAACTTTAGTCATATAGGGACTGTGATACCAGCCCGAGGAAATGACATGAGTATATGGATGTGTGTTTGTGAGTGCGCGTACATATTTATTAGGATTTTTTTAATACATTTTGTAAATAAACTTGTAGTTATTGTACACGTAGCAAATCACCCTGTGTTTTCTCAGCTGGTTGCCCAACGTTTCCCCGTTCAATTGCATCACCAACTTATTTATAAACTTAATCCTTAAACGTATTTATAACAATACGTTTAGAAAGAACCAAAACGTTAAAAATATAAAAATATTAAAAAATAAATAAAAAATTACATACCTTTCAATCAAGCGAAAACTCTAGATAGGGATATCTTTGTACACGGATAGCAAAGTATCTTCTTAAAGTGTCAACAATATTTAATGAATGATGATATGGCGACCGATATTGTAATACCACGTGGCGTAAATTTCAACAGAACGATCAATGGTAAAAATAAGTAAGGACTGTTGCTCGGTAGTCCTGCTATTAATGTTCTCACACTGCAAGCAGTTTACAGCAGTTCATATATCACTCGAGCTGTCGTATAGTTCTGTACAGACCTGACCATTTGACAGAAACAGTGATTTCAGAACATTACGTTCGGTCTGCAAAATGGTTTACGGCATCAAATTATCTGTTACGCAAGTCCCAACGAATAAGTTTGCGTTTATTTGCACGAATCCCCAATAGCCTCTAATAATTCCCATATACAACATCTAATAAATCTAAGGTCTATACACATTAAGATCACAATCTCTCATCACTTCCTTCACAAATTGCCAAGTAATTCACACGTTACAAAAGTCTCACATCTATTACATTATATGAGAATCACACGTAATGCTAATTTACAAGTTATTTTTCTTTTCTTTTTAATTTGCATCACTTAATGTTACAAAAGGACACGCTACGTATGATGACTTGCTTATCATATGCTTTTCTCAATGCTGACAATGTTTGGTTATGCAAATACACATTTTATGCACAAAACAAAATAAATGTATCTGTATTATATTTTTAGGTAAGAGTTGTGAACTCCTGAATTGATGTAACAGTCAAACAAAATCAACGTTGAAATTTATCTTAAAATATTTAAAACATTGTAGTTAACATCTGAGTAGGAAACCTGTTGAGTTGTATATTTAATCAAGCATGATAACCGGAACCTTAATCATATGTACATGTATTAAACAATTATATTTTTTTAGTTTCTGTTTGGATGCCTCTTAGTATTACATTGGTGGAGTTTCCTAAACACTTAATAAACAGCGAAGCTAATTTCACAAATGGCACCTTATAATGGTATTGAAACAGGCATATATAGGGACCGCAGAACCAAATGATTTTCCATAGACGATAGTGTTAACACTTACCACTGTCCTGGTTGAATGGGGTTATCAACACTAGTTTACCTGCCCTCATTTTGAAGAATATTATCTCACACAACTGTAAATAAAATATTTAAAAATACTGCCAATTTTAACTTTTTTTATATGGGGGCCGCCATCTTGTATTGAATTCGGCACCAAAAT